TCCATTTAATGATTCCTTTTTTTTGTTTGTTTGCTTTTGGTGCCAGTGATCAAACTCGGGACCTTGTGCTTCCAAGGCAGGCAGTGGAACCACTGAGCTAAATCCCTGGCCCCCAAACTGATTCCTTAGATTTGAGGCCTTCAATGTTCTTTTGTTTTTTTTAAAGCTCATTGTAACTTTATTTGTCACCACTTAAAATTGGAAACAACAAAAAGTTCTTCAATGGGTGAAGTATTAAACAAACTATGATGTATCCAAGTCATGGATATGAAGCACCAAAAAGAAACAAAGCATAGTTTGATGCATGACGTAATTTGGGTGGATGGCAGAGAATGACACCGAGTGGGGAAAAAGGCCTATTTCAAAAGACTAGAAACTGTGATGCTATTTCTATAACCCCAAAATGATAGAGTTACAGAGATGAAGGGCAGATTAATGGTGCTAGAGATTAAGGAGGAGGGAGAGTGTAAGAATGACCATAACAAGGTAGCATGAGGGATCTTTGTGGTAATAAAACAGTCCTGTATCTTTGATTGGTATTTTTGTTAATGAATCTACTACACATTTGATGAAATTGCTAGAACAATATACACATATACACAAGCACAAAAGTGTGTGCAAAAATGGTGAAATCTAGGAACTGAGGATGTAGTTCAGAAGGGCTGGGTTCAATCTCCAGCACTGCTGAGTCCATCCTATTGCAGTCAAAGCATCAGGACAAGATGTGTCCACATTTGCAGGGCCTCAGCAGTTAGAGTCAGAGTTTGCCGCACACACTATGATGCTCATTTGTCCAAGAGGACCCAGGAGGCAGGAGGAGAGATGTCTACTGTTGCCATGAATATGAGGTGGCAAGAATGTCTCTTTATAATCCCAGTACTCAGGAGGCTGAGGTAGGAGGATCACCGTGAGTTCAAGGCTAGCATGGGGTACAGAGTGAGACCCATTGTTTTGTGGGTTTTCTGTAACCTACTTCTCACTCACACATTTCCCCTAATCTCTGTGGATAGTGAATGAGAGGTTGAACAGCACATCTCACACTGAGGCCATCTTTCCACGGGGGTGAGAAGCTGGTGTGAATCTGCAATACACGGGATATTTTGCTGAGGACCCAAGGAGGGCGATACAATAGGAAATTAGTATTATTGTATAGATGCTGCTCCCAACCCTCAATGTTCTTGAATGGTATAATTTTTATCTAAAGATTCAATAATAGGTCGAGAAGAGTTTCCATTTGGTCTTCTATATAGTTGAAATAAAGCTAGGTTTCAAATTCATGAAGACAGATTAGTTCTTGGTAACAACTTTGATTTCCAGAATGCATTGAAATATAAGCTTTGTCGGGCCATAACTAAGTTTGGCTCTAGATGAGAAACATTTTGTGGGTTGCATGATTTCCTTTGAAAACCCAGAAGAACAAATTATCCAGGTTTAGATGGGCTTAAACCAAGGTAGCCAAAAGGGAATCTGCCAAACCTTATTTTGTTGTAGATCCTGAATCTTTGAAAAAATAATTTCTAAATCTAAAAATGCTGGGCTTCCATTGAGGAAAGACTAAACTTGGTCAATTAGAGAACCAGTGAGGTCTCCTACTAGATAGAAATGGCATACTTGAATATTAAACTACAGGTAGAGATCAAGATATATTATGTATGGGTACAAATTCCCTATGATGAATATGATCATTATGTATATCTAAAATGTGCCAAGAAAATAAAAATTTTAAAAAGCTATAGGTAGAGGAACTAAAGGAAACAACAGATCAGTTATAACAGGCCAGAGCTAAAAAGCCAGGCTACATTCTTGCTAGATAATTGTTTTATACATCTGTTACCTATATTATAAAAAGAAAAAAATACTTGATTATCATTGGGCATGGAATTCTCTTTAGTTTTCTATATCTCTCTGCCATCTTCTATGGTCTTGCCCTTGTGACTTTCCTCATTTAACTTTCCTGATGGGCTCTGGTGGCATTTAAACTGACCACACCTATGTGGAGGCTATATTATCAAAGCAAATTATAAGAAATTAAAAGGTTATGATAGGGACAGAGAAGCTAAATTATGAATTTAGGAGCTATTGTTGCCATTTTTGAGTGGCTAGAGGACATCCAGCTACCACTAGTTACCTTTTATTAATCTTCTCAAATAGAATTAATCGAGTACCTACTATATGTTATGTAGGCATTGGGGATATAAGAAATAAGGCAGAAATAAGTCACAGTAAAATAGCTCTTGGAGGAGAGAGACTTCAAATAATTAAACATGCAAATGTGAGGACTGATACAAATTATTATGGAAAAGGATAGGTTGAGAGAGGAACTTGAGGCCCTCCTTTATTTTGTTAGTCAAGATTTTCTTGCTGTGACAAAACTTCAGAAAATGAACTTAAAGAAGGAAAGCTTTATTTTATTTTATTTTTCTCATTGAGTTTATTGGTACATTCTAGGTATACCATACAGTTACATTCATCATTGGGATCTTGTACCTTTACATGACAGGTCTTGGTTCTCATTTTTTCCCCTTACCCCTGCCCTCCCTTCACCCCCTCCTCCCTTCCCTATTTACAAAAACTTTTTTCCCATTTTTTTTGTTTTCTCATATTTTTTCTTTTCCCTCATTTCCTTTCCCCTACCCTTCCCACTTCCCCTACACCTTTAGCTCTTTTCTTCCTATTTCACATTGTCAATTATACCATTTGGATCTTATTTATACTTTTAGTTTTTCACACCAGAGGAACCATTTCGTATTTCCACATGTGTGACTTATTTATTTCACTTACGAGTACAGAAAGCTTTATTTTAGCTTGTGGTTGCAGTGGTTTTAGTCCATGGTCACTTTGATTTGTTGCTTCTGGTCCTTCAGGTAGGCAGAAACATCAGGCAGGAGGGCATGGTAGAGGAATGGTGCTCACCTCACGGCATACAGGAAGCAGAGAGGGAAAGCCAGGGGGGAAGTGGCTAGGGACAGGGCATTCCCTTCAAAGTCATGCCCACAGTGATCTGCTTCCTCCAACTAGGCCCCTTTAGTTCAGCTAATAAACACATCAATGGATTAATCAATTTGAAGAATTTAGAGATTTCATGATCCATCTAATCAGTTCCTCAAAGCCAGTGGTGAAAGGTTTCAACACAATGAGACTTTTGGGGGATTTGTAGGTTCCCAACCATAACACTTAACTAGAAAAGTCTGGTTGGGTCTCTCTGAGGAGGTGACATGTTGGTTGAGCCGAAGGCGGGAAGAAACTAAGCAGATAATCAGAGAAAAGAAGTATCTTTAAGGCAGAGGGAGCAGTAAGTAGGAAAGCCTCGAGGCACTATGGACATGGTTTATTTGAGAACAAGAAAGACCAGTGTGGTTGGAATGTTTGTGGGAGATGAGTGAAGCAATGACCAAAGTGAAGTTTGCTGGTTTACAAACTATTCAAAGGAGTATGGACACTACTTTAAATGGGCAATGGGAAACCACAGAGAGGATTTCAAACAAGCTTAGATTAAAGTTCTTGATGGTCACTGTGTGGAGAATGGACTGAAAGAGTACAAAGTAGAATTGCTGCTAACATCCAAGCAGTAGGTGGCTGGACTTGTGTGGAGACCCTGGCAATGGGCATATTGGATGTGCTTTTTATTTGGGTACTGGGGAATGAACTCAGGACCTTGCACTTGCAAGGCAGGCAGCAGAAACACTGAGCTAAATCCCTGGCACAGGATGTGCATATTTTAGAAGAATCTTAATGGGTAAGATATGGATATGAGTGGAAACCTCTCTAAAGGCAGGATTTTCAATGTTATTAAAGTCTTTTTTTTTTCCTCATTGAGTTTATGGGTACTCTTTAGGTATACAGTACATTACATTCATTATTGGGATCATGTACCTTTACATGACAGGTCTTGGTTCTCATTTTTTCCCCTTGTCCGTGCCCTCCCTTCACCCCCATTGTCCCCTCCCCATTTATAAGCACTTTGTTTCCATTTTTTCATAGACCCTGTAGAAATTATACACTGGAGTATATCCCTATATTCCTAAAATTTGTAATTCATGGTATCTTAACATTTTTAAAAGTCATGGACATTGGCCATTTTCTCTTCTATTTAAGAAGGTTATAGTTACTTCTAAGGCCACCATATGTGGAAGTTTCAGCATAGTAGATGTAGAACAAAATTTTATGAAAAGTGGGTGCTGTTACTTACAGAGCCATTTGACTGTTTTGTTTGCCCCTTGGGTGATGTGTTCCTAAAAAGATGTCAGTTCAGTTCAATTCGGTGTTATCACAAGTTGAGTTCTCAGGAAGTAAATATTGAAACAGATGGTTGTCAGGGACCCACACCTGTGTAAGGAAGGAGGAAGCAATATAGGCAGATGAAGACAACTTCACTGCAACTCCAGCAATGCCTACACTAAGCCAGCAGGAAATTGTAGCAAATAATTGACGTCAGAGTGCCCTACATCGAATCCAAACTGCTTCATACCCGCTTTGCTCAGTCACTGGGCATGGCTGCACTTTAAAGGGTATGGATGACACTCTTATCTGCAGCTTAGTTCAACCCTGAAGGAGGTGACAGCTGTAGGCTGTCTGCAGTCTACATTCCCACAGACAGTCAGGAGACTTCGCTGGAAGGGAAGTCTGGCTGGTTCATCTCCACATCCACGGTAGGTGCTGCATTACTTGTAATAGAAATCGTAATTTATTCTTTGTTGTATGTAGTTTCCTTCCTCACAGGAGCTCAAGATGAAACACAAGAGCTGTCTAACCACAAAATGTTTGTCAGCTAGGACAAGAAAGGAGGTTTACGAGGGAAAAGATTGAAAGGAGTGACCAAGTACAAGAACAACAGGAGAGAAGCTCCTAGGGGTCAGGGAAAGCTAATTTTAATATAACACACACAGTTATGGCATCCACTTCTAGGCCCCATTTGTGAAAGTATTTCAATTAACAGACTTTTTACAATGTTTAAAAAAATAACATTGTAAAAATTGAAGTGTTTCTTTTTTCGTTGACAGATATGGAAAACAGGGATAAGAGAGATTGGCCATTCATGACAATTCAGAGAAATGCTAGCTCAGGTATTTATTTATTTACTTTTTTACTTGCAACTCTGTTTTATGATTGGTAGTGGGTTAAGCACTGTGGGAATGCAATAATGATGGAATGCTGATTTCTAAAATTTTAATAAAGAAAAGTGCATTTCATGGTTACATTCAATGGTTGACCAATTCTCTTATAATAGTCTGTGCTGGGGATTTAGCTCAGTGGTGCCACCACCTGCCTTGAAAGCACAAGGTTCTGAGTTCCATCCCTGGTACTAAAACAAACAAACAAACAAACAGTGACCAGAACAACCTTCCTCTCCTCCACTGTGCTTATCCTGTGATCATTTGGAAGATTCTTAAAAGTTATGTGATCCATGATTTCTCTAATAAGTCCTAATTACTTTGTGTAACACAGATTAGTTATTCATATAATTGAGACGGAAGTACATTCTTTCTTGAATTACTCAGTTATTATATTTTATGTTACTTATCTTAGCATATCTTCTACCTATGTTTTACTTTATCAAGAAAGTTAGTATAGTAAATTATGACATTGCATGCATTTGGGTGGGGAATGCCCAAATACTCTGCATAGTTATATTTTTGTTTCACCTATTATACATTTAGTTTTCAGTTTCAACTTTTTTCAAACTGAAATTATTTTGATTTATCTTGGCTAGAAGAGCATCTATAATTTAAGAATGTATTTATGTAATTTGATTACTAAGGATGTGGTATTTAAATATTCACAGTTGATACCTACCACATTTTAAATAAAAATAATAGATTAGCAAAGGTCATAATTGGCATTATAGTTTTCTAAAATCCACAGTATATTAACTCCCATGTAATCATTCCCTCTCTCCTCCTTTAGAAGTAATATTGTGTAAGGAATTTAGTAGCTGGATTCTAGGAGCTGTATTCTAGAAATGAGGTTAAAATACATTATGATCATGGTACTTCACTGTCTTACATGCTTAAAAATATTTAACAAGATATGAAGTAAACATTTTCCCCTTGACTATATTTGAGTTCAAATAACATGATATTATTTCTTTCTCATTTTTCTTTTTTATGACGCATAGATAATCTGGTATTCTGTGTGAAAAATGGGATGAGAAGAATCAAGTATAAGCCAGTAGACTATCAAGAGCTACGTGCATTAACTGAAGCAAAGAAATTAGCTTCTGCTTCTATAGAGAAAAAGGTTAGAAATTGTGTGTATGTACAATGTTTTTTCTAGTTTTGGAAAGTTGAATTTCTAGAAAGTATATTATTATTTACATTGCACTTGCAAAAATAAATGGTTGTCTAAATGGTTCATAGCCTCTTCTAACTATTAATAATAGTGAACAGCAGCTAACATTTACTAAATGTTCTCAGGCTCTGTTATATAATTTCCATGCAATATTCATTTAATTTTTATAACAACTCTATGAGTCGTAAATTCAGTTTCGTTTTTGGAAAGATAGTTACTTTCAATAATTTAAGACAATCTGGAAAATAATTGCTAATGAGTGCTAGTCATGGATTATTACCTGATTTAAGGCTCCATCTTCAACACTGTACATATACCTTTAGTTTCTCTCCATTCTGGGATCTCTTCTTTGCTGAAATACTTATCTTGTGCCAAGAAAAGGTCAACCTGGAACTTGCTGAAATAATATGTTTTATTACAAGTGATATTTTTCATTGTTTCTTTGTATAGAAAAGCTGTTTTAGTGAAGTAATACATTAATTTACAAGTTTTCATTTTATTTAAAATGTCAGTTTTGCATGGCTCTTCATTATTTTTAATATTTTTTTACTGCATGTTTATAGTACATGCAGTTTATAGTCATCTTGGGGAGTAGTTACATGTACATACCATTTTTTTTTACAAAGGCAACATTATGATTCCAAGGCACATTTGATATCATATTTTAGAGAAATTACCATATATCTATGAGTTACATCCTCTTAAACCAAGATAATTTAAAAAGTAAATTATTATTTGTTTCAGATATCACTCTAAAATAACTTCAACATATGTGAACATTCAAAGAAATTTTATAGAAGAAAATCACATAACTGTCATCCTAATAAAATTGTTTCTCTACCTCTGACTTTTCTGACCTATTGTATACAAAGCACATGTGAAAATACACACATATATAATTGTAAAAATTTACTACATATTGTATTTTCTGCCATGAAAAATACAAACATGAATCCTGTATACTTTTCTCTTTAACATTTTACTATGTTATTTTATGTTATTTTTATATATTTGATTACTCCAGTCAACAAATCTTAATCTTGTGCCTACCATTAACCTTGAAGATACAACAGTGAACAAAATATAGCCCTTGGCCTCATGTAGTGTACTATTTTCTGGGAAAAGAAAAGTTGTCAATATTTATTAAATAAGTCTGGGAAGAAATTATATTAAATATAAACTGCAATAAAACATGCTGTTCAGTGTATAATTAACAGGACACAATCCTGATTGGGTGGGTAGGAAAGGCCTTTCTGAGGAAGTGACATTGAAATTGAGATCAGAAGGCCAGTAGGAATTAAGTAAGAAAATCAGGAGTGACAAGTATTGCACTGCACTCCAAATAGAAAAAGATGCATGCGTTACTACACTTTGATTTATTTGAGTAGTATTCAGTTTGGTGATGGTGGAAATCCTACTGTGGCAAAATTCTTCATGCACACAGAATTTTCCATGTTTCTTTTTCTCATTGAATTTATTAGTACTTTTTAGGTGTATAGTACAGTTACATTCATCACTGGGATATCGTACTTTTCCATGACAGGTCTTGGTTCTCATTATTTCCCCTTACCCCTGCCCTTCCTTCACCCCCTCCTCCATTCCCTATTTACAAAAACTTTTTTTTCCATTTTCTCATATTTTTTTCTTTTCCCTTATTTCCTTTCCCCTACCCTTTCCCACTTCCCCTACACCTTTAGACCTTTTCTTCCTATTTCACATTGTCAATTATCTCATTAGGATCTTATGTACTATTATAGTTTTTCTCACCAGAGAAACTATTTGGTATTTACACGTTTTAAAGTCCTCTACCTACACAGGATAAATTCCTATGACTGCGATGTTTAGGCCAAAATATATGAAATTTTTTAGTGTTTTTGCGACTTATTATGAAAGTTTTCTCTTAATGTATTGTTTTTAAAAAAGATGCCAACACAAATGTAACCTCTACATGTTGTCACTATTAGAATATGTGTATATGTGTTGCTAATATTATCCATTCATCCATCTGTTCATCTGAAGATATGCCAAAAAGACATTTTTGTTGAATGTAGAGTAGGTGAGGGTTAAAGTTGAGTCACTATTTGGTCAAGGTAAATTTCTCTTTAATGAAAGACTTGTTATCAAAGAACAGACATATTTAAGATTTTAAATTATTATTATTGTTTGAAAATTTGACATTAAATGCAGGAATAATAGTTTCTCAGTGTTGTCAATGCTGAATTGCATCTCTAATCACTATACTATACATTTATAAGGTTAAACATAGCTCCTAATATCACTAACCTTTTTATTCATAGTGTAATATAATCCAGGAAGATTTTTAGTTATGTATCTTCTAGAGATAGATTTGTATTTGCAATTCATAGCTTGGCAAATATAAAAAACACTAAGTCCTCAACTACTGAAAATGGTTCAGTCTATAGTAATCATTTTGATAAGCTTTTGCTTCCATTTTTAGTCTCCAGTGATTCATAATGATAAGGACTGGTCCTTTTAAAGGATTTCTGTACTCTCTTTTTCTGGTTTTTGGTTAATGAGAATCAAATGTGTCCTCTGTGTTGAATAATAACACTTTCTTTTTATCTTCATTCAGTTTACATTATATCTGGATTGAGCTGGGGATTTAGCTCATTGGTTGCGCCACCTGCCTTGCTAGTGCAAGGTCCCGAGTTTGATCCCTGGTACCAAAAATCAATCAATCAATCAATACATACATAATGTTTGGATGGAATATGTATCAGGAGCATTGTCCATAATTTTTGTAGTTTTTCCCTTCTCATTTAAGTCATAGGAGGCAGTTGGCATTTTGCTTTTAATTTATTTTGTGAGATGTGAACAATTTCTAAATAGGACCTTTTCTTAAAAGACTCGTGGCTTAAATGGAATTAAATAACTGGAAATTAAATAAATTTCTTAAATTTATTTTTTAAATATCATGGATGCTAATATACTAAACAGTCTGTACTACCTGACATTACTGTTATAACATCAACTTTGCTATTTTTTCTTATATTATTTAAATTTTAACAAAATATGTGCTGACTCAAAAAGAATGTGTGATTCTTCCTAATGTTACATAGCTAACACATTGTCTCTTAATATTTGTACTAATTATCACTCTATCTTCCTATTAATTTTACTATTTAAATGTGCTAATTTTCTACACATAAAATTAACAGTTTTAACAATTACTGTGTGTTATTACAGTGCTTTATTCTGGCAATATTAAATATATTTAAACTGACTGAAATGGTGTTAACATTTAAATAATATAAGGAGAGTGTTACTCCAAACTATTATTTAGAATAAATAGCTGCTTATCTTCTATTACTGATACTATTGTACTCATTAGATGTGATGATCATCTAAATTATTCTGTCATTGATCATGATCAATTTCTGAATGGGTGCCAGATAGATACCAAAATGGATATTGAATCTTTCAAATGCTGAGGTTGAATGTGGAGACATGTAGTGGATCTGGGCTGAAACTCAAAACCACTTTTTGCTACATTGTATGTAGTGGCAGATTCTCAATTTATTAAGTATAAAAGGAATATTTATAATTATTTTTATTTGAATTTTCTTGCTTAGCATGGATAAATATTTCTTTTTTTCTAACTCAGATATTATCTCCTAGTTCTTTTTAAAAAATCTCATGCAGTGGAAATAATAAATGAGTCAACTTAGTTTGAATGGGATAATCAATCTCAAAGTAACATCATCCATCTTCAATAATTATCAACTTTTGGTCATGTTCCTTTATAACCCTACCTACAAACATCCCCTATACCAAACTCTTCTCAAGTAAATCTTAAACGTGATAATAATTTATCCATAACTATGTCAGCTTGTAACTCTAAACTATTAGAACTTTAAAAACTCTACTATACAATTAGCATGTCTAATATCATACATGTTAAATATACTTGAAATTTTTATTTGAGTTTATTTATATTAGCATCTAAAGAGGATTCATATGTTCCAATAAGTTTTTATTTATTAGATTTCATCCTTTATCTTCTTTTTTTCATAATTTAGTTTTTTAATAAATTGCATTATTTATCCTTTATATGGTAGTTTTTTCTTTAGAAATTGTTTTATTGGTACATGTTTGTAATACATGATGTTTACATTCACCTTAGAAAGTAGGTAGATGTACTTAATGTACCTTGATTCTTTTGATGTCCCTTCCCCTCCTATTCTTCTCCTTCCATCTCTAGACCTCCTCCTCTGAATTTTATTTTAATTCATGTTTGTAACACATAATAATTAGATACATTAAGATCATTGTAACATATGCATGACATGTCTTAATTCTTTTTACATTCATATTTGTGGTCCATAATGTTTATATTCCTCATGTGGAGTTGGTACATATACATAGCACATCTTTTTAAAAATTAATTTTATTGGTACATTTTAGATATATATATGATCATATTCATCATCACATGTACATAATGTATCTTGTTTCTTCTTTTCCTTCCAATCTCCTCCTCTCCCTTCAACCCCTTTCCCTCCTTTTTTTTTTTTTACAAGAGCTTTGTTTCCATTTTTTCCTTTGATTCATATAAACATTTCTCTTCCTCCTTTTCCCCTTCCCCTTCCCTTGTTTCTTTTCCTATTGGAACATTTTCTTCCTGTTACCCAATATCTACTACACATTTTCGTCCTTATTTACTCTTTTGGTTTTTCATACCACAGAAACAATGTGATATTTAAATACGTGTGTCTGATGTATTTCACTTTAGGGTATGGTTTCAGGTGCATCTATTTACCTAGAAAGATGTTGTTTATCCTTCTGTATGGAAGAGTAGTACTACATTGTATTAAAACCCCATATCTTCTTTATCCATTCATCCAGTCATGAGCATTTGGGCTGTTTTCAAGATTTAGCGATTACGAACTGTGCTGCTATAAACATGGGTGTGCATATATTGCTGTGGT